GCAAAAGGTCTTTTTGTTACTGTCACTGTTTTATGACCATTAACAATAGGAATAACTTAATTAAGCTTCTGAAACTGTTTTAGTTCATCTAATTTTTTTTGCCTATTTTAACTTCTGATACATACTTTCCATTTTGTCTTATTTTTGCTTTTAACATCATTATTTTGCTTTTTTATTCTCCTGTCTCATTTCAAACAAGTTGTATATTTACCTGCAAGTCTGGAAAAGAAGACATGATCATGTTTTGTCTTTCTGAGGAGGCAGAGATATTTGATTTTTTCATTTACGCTGACGGGCTTTGTTTGCTCACAAGGAATACTCCCATCATTCTTTTGTGTATAACCTCCAATCCTCTTTCAAAACAGGTCCCTGAATATGATATGCTTTTCTCTGTGCTAGCAATTATACAAGTGCAAAGAATGAAAAATGTAATTCCATTTTCACTTATGCCATTTCTTCATCACAAGTACAAGTACAACAAATTTGTAGCCATCAGACTGGATGGCAGAGTGCAACTAAGAATACAAATAAAATATCGTTTCCTTACATGTGAAGTACAAATGTAAATTTTAGACGTGGAATAAAAATGCAATTCATTTTAATTATTAATATTTTACAATAATTCCTTTTAAATGTGATTTATCAAGGTTTACATGCCCTTTATCACTCCTACTTTAGCTAGAATAAATGTCTTTTTGAATGCCTATTTTAGAAAAGAAAAAAATGCTGTTTTACCTTCCATTTTAAGTAAAATAAATGCCTGAACTTCTGAGCTCTAGTTATTAATGAAAGTATTATTAAAAATATTATTTTTCATTAGTAATAAGTAACAGAAGGCATTAATCATTATGGAAAGAAATATGCTTAATACTTTTTTTGTTAAATAGTTTTATTGAAAGACTGCTACAAGATAATTTCCTTCTTTGTAAGTAGTTAGTAAAAGAGAAGAAATACAAATAAGAGATAAAACTGATCTCGTATTTCAGTGTTCAAAGTGTTGGCTTTGGAATATATGTTTGAAGTGAATTTTGTTATTTTTACAATACTAATTTTCTTTTCTGTTTCCATGTATGTTATTTAACCAGAAAAAATATTGTTACATTTTTTCCCCCATTAGATATGAAAGAGAATTTGTGGAGCAAGATGAATGCTAATTTTGAAAAACAGTTTCCAGAAAAACTCACCAACATAAGCTATAATATTCCAACATCTATTATTGCTGCAAAAATTAGAAATTTTTATTTTAATAATAAACCAATATCCGAAAACAGTGTTGCTGAATATGTGGATGTAAGTTGGAATATTTTTCATTTCAAAAACTACAATTAGATATTGTGAAATGTCTTCCTCTTATTTCATTGTATGTCTTTTTCATGTATCCACTCATGGTAGTATAGGAATATAAATACATTAAACTGAATTTACTGGTAATTCTTTTTGAAACATCAAATGAGAAATGACACAACTTCTGGAACTTACCTATCAAATAAAACAATATCAATACCCAAATTGTTACCAGTACCTACCCATAAAAAAATTAAAATACTTATTATATTGACGCATGAAATATTTCACACAGCATATTTATTTTTCAGTTCCAAACAGACTTGAGCTTTGCAGAAGGTATTCACACAACACTGAAACTAAGTACAGCCCAATCCAATAACCCTGTATATTTTTATGTGTTTGGTTTTGATGGAGAATTGGGATTTGCTAAGCAGTTCTCAAATTCAAACATAAAAGGTAAGTCCAATTGAAAGTTAAAACCAAATTTGAATATAATTAAAATTTTATGTCACCCAGATTCTCTTTGTAGATATGTTATAAATGTAGATTGAAATTGTATATAAAATACTGAAGTACATTTAAAAATTCTGTTGGAGAATAATAATTTTTTTGTAGGTACCTGCCATGCAGATGAACTAGGTTACTTATTTCGAAGTCATCTAATAGATATTGATGTTGAACCCTCTTCACCTGAAATGAAAACTATCAATAGAATGGTTTCACTCTGGACAAACTTTGCAAAGACTGGGTAAGTGCATTGAATACCATTATTCATAGCCAGAAAATCAACTGCAAAAGAAAGATGAAAGATTTTACTCATGGGCATCTCTAGCAGGGAGTCATGACTAACCCAATATTTTCAAATACTTCTAGTAGTTTTTTTACTATCAACATAAATAACATGTTAATTAGACTAAATCTACTCATTAGTGATCTTCACAGCCCATATACAATGTCCCTGTCAATATGAGCAATATCTATTAATTTACAAATGGTAATTAAAACCAGGCATCCAGGAACACTATGAACATCATGAGACACACAGTGTCACTGGTGGAGAGGGGGACATGGGGGCCATGGCCATGGCAAATTTCCTGCTATTCCATAAAATGCAGGGCAATGGCTTGTGAATTAGGTGTCTTAAGGTTTATTTCTGTAGTAGAATGTAAATCTGATAGTTTAATCTGATACCCTAATATAAGTAAAATAAAATTG